GTGTGGCTGGTTTGATCCCCTATTCTAACCAGAAAAAAAAAGTTTCTTATTATCAGCCAGAATCCTATTTGCCTATCATTTATGTGTTTGCTGGAGTAGCAGCACTTAGATTCCCTTCAAGAAATTTGTTTTTTTGCCTTCATAAATTGACTAATGCAAGAAGCCTGGTTTTCTTCTTATCTTGGCTTTGAATGTTTCTCACTAAGCTTACTAATTTCCACTTTTTAAATTAAAGTGAAAGACATGTGACTCTTTCCTTTACTGGAACACTTATGGGGGTTATAGTGTTATAGATCGTCCTAAGTTCAATATTGTTGCGTCTCTGGGAAATGGGAAGCCCAAGGAAAGGGATAGGGATGAAGGAATGGCTAGTCAGCCACAGTCAGAACATACTCAAAAAACTTATGCATATGTGAGATTGGTTGCAATGTGTCACTCCAAATCAATTATCATAGTAACTCTGAAGTTCACTTGTCACAGATCACTATGAGAGAGAGAATAATAATGACAAAATTTGAAATATTATGGGAATTACCACAATGTATCACAGAGACATGCAGTGAGTATATACTTTTGGTGAAACATTGTTATCACAAACTTCAGTTTGTTAAAAAAAAAAAAGTTAGCAACTACAAATCACAGCCAAGAAAAGCACAATAACTTATGAACTTATACCTACATGAGAAAAGACGAATAAGTACCTATATTCTTTAAGAATATTAAGACAAAAATTCCTTTACTGTATGCATTTGTACCTATTGATAGATATATAGATGTATGTATATGTGTGTACATACAAATATAGAAAACCACAATATAAAAACAAAATGCAGACATGAAAGTTTAATGTTTGAACCTTTCTTCAGAACTGGAAAAATTAATAAGAGATGCCACAAATGCAGGGAATTAAAAATGTTTTAAATTTTTTATGTAAATACAGAAAAATCTGATCCCCCAAAGTGAGTAACATAATTGCTAAACCATAACTACCTTCAAAATGTTAGTTTTGCTTGACTTTTCAATATGAAGGTTAGAATTTTTGAATTATCAACTAAGGCAAGGCACACTGTTGTGCTTCAGGCATCAAATTATACGTACTATACTAATAAAGTCTTTTCATCATATTTTGAATATGTGTGAAACTTTCATATTGCTAACTCCTACCTCATTAGTGATTTTTTCTTTTAATATCTTCAAACAGAGCTAGAATTATAGCATCATAGACATATAGATCTCATTATTTCATATTTTTGTTTCTGAAAGTGCCATAATTTTATTCACCATATGTGATCTTTTGCACATGATTCCTTAGACTGCATCATAAAATAGTAATGATTAACTGAACTAAACTTAAGAAAGGAAGACTTAGTGGGGATAATAAAAGGGAATTTGGCTCACTGAAGCTTGTCCCATTTAATATACCTTTTCCTCTCAGGACAGTATTGACTCTAATTGGTTTTTTAAAGACATTATCTTTACTTCAGTAACTTTGCCAGATGAGTACATGGAATATTTCCTAAGTAGACCTGATCTCTAGCCTAAAAAAGCTGTGATTAATGTGATCATTACATTTATTCAACTCATTTAACATTTGTCTTATATGAAGAGTATTTACTTGGGAAAAGAGACAATATAAATATTTCTTAGGGAAAATTGACATTGTAAGTGGTTAGAAACAAAGACTTAACTGGTTTGTCTTTGTTGATGAGATTAAGCAGAAAGATTTTTAAATATCTGTTTTACATTTTTTATGTAAATACAGCTTTATGCTCAGATGTTACTTTGAAAAAAGAAGAAAAAACACACATGTAACCTGGAATTTCTTTTTAATCGAAGGAATCTATGTTGAGTACTAATAATGGATCATCAAGAAGACCCTGAAATTAGAGAAAAAGGATCTGTAGGACAGTGAAGTAAACAGAATAAAATTATTTTATGCGCATTTTTAATACATCATATTGGATACTGCTATTATGTATAACTAACATCTTCATAAACAAAAAAGTAAAATTCAAAGAAAGAAGAAAGAAGTTAGGCTCTACAGAGCTAAGATGTTTCTAATACATGAATACTATGTAGTATAAAGATGGCTACTTGAATACCACACATAAGAGGGTAATTATCCTGTATTAGTTCCTTAGAATATATTTAAAATGGCATAACTTAACATATTCTGTTCCTATGTGTCAGCATGCACAAAGCTGATTTTCCTCTAGGAATGATAATTTTCTTGAAAATATCGGTAAGGTAATTCAATTATAAAAAAATATTTTCTCACTTTTTATTGCAAAAGTCATTTGTAAATTACTGGAAGAAAGAATGAAAACTTATAAAATTCAATTAAAAGTCAGCCCTGTTTTATTTAAAAAATCCTGTGAAGAATTACAAAATGATTTATAAATACTAACTGCTAACACTCAAATTATTTATAAAAATATATGCTTATAACCATAAACATAGATATCCATGTAAAATAACCAATAAAGGAAAATAGAATGTATAACTTTGTCATAGAATATAACCAATAGATTTTTTTTGCTTTTTATTTATTTAATTTTATTTATTTTTTTATTCTTTCTTTTTTTATTATTGTTGGTTGTTCAAAACATTACATAGTAATAGATTTTTAAAATCACAAATGATTCGCATTCTCTGGTAAATTCCTAAGTACATAATCCAAAATTATTTCAAAATGTCCAACTTCAAAATAAAAAAAGTCACTTAATGTTTATTTTTCTGAAAGAATATATTCTGTAGTCATATTTGCCTTTTAGTTTAATAAATATGTGATAAAGATAAGTTATCATTTTATTACTAAATTTCATGACGTAAGATAAAAATGTGTCTTTAATGAAGGCTGAATGAAATATATTTGTAATATTTCCCATTCTCTGTTTTCTAGTTGATTTGAGAATTTCTGATGTACTTCAGATGTTACCCTT